CACTGCCACTTGAGTCATATTGGTATAAAACACATGAAGAAGCTCCATGTTTGATGGATCTTTGGACTCACTCGTTTTTGAATAACTTGAGACATGCAAATCATACCACATGGGCAAGATGACAGAAAGGCCTCGTTTTCGGTAAGATGGAACAAGAAAGCAACTTGTTGGAAGTAATACATTTTGATGTGTGCAGTCCAACGAGTGCTGAGGCACGCAGTGGATATCGTTATGTTCTTACTTCACAGATGATTTGAGTAGATGCTAAGTATATTTACTTGATGAAACACAAGTCTGAATTATTCAAAGGTTCAAGTAATTTCAGAGTGAAGTTGAAGATCATCGTGACAAGAGGATAAAATTTCTATGATATGATCATAGAGATGAATATCTGAGTTACGAGTTTGGCACACAATTAAGACATGGTGGAAATTGTTTCACAACTAATACCGCCTGGAACACCATAGTGTGATGGTGTGTCCGAACATCATAACTGCACCCTATTGGATATGGTGCATACCATGATGTCTCTTATCGAATTAGCACTATCGTTCATAGGGTTAGGCATTAGAGACAATCGCATTCACTTTAAATAGGGCACCACGTAATCCCGTTGAGATGACACCGTATGAACTATGGTTTAGAGAAACCTAAGCTGTTGTTTCTTGAAAGTTTGGGGCTGCGACGCTTATGTGAAAAAGTTTCATCCTGATAAGCTCGAACCCAAAGCGGATAAATACATCTTCATAGAACACCCAAAACAGTTGGGTATACCTCCTATTTCAGATCCGGAAGCAAAAGTGATTGTTTCTTAAACGGTTCCTTTCTCGAGGAAAAGTTTCTCTCAAAAGAATTGAGTGGGAGGATGGTGGAGACTTGATAAGGTTATTGAACCATCACTTCAACCAGTGTGTAGCAGGGCACATGAAGTTGTTCCTATGGCACCTACACCAATTGAAGTGGAAGTTGATGATAGTGATCATGAAACTTCGGATCAAGTCACTACCAAACCTCGTAGGACGATAAGGACAGGTACTACTTCAGAGTGGTACGGTAATGCTTTCTTGGAGGTCATGTTGCTAGACAACAATGAACCTACGAGCTATGGAGAAGCGATGGTGGGCCCGGATTCCAACAAATGGCTCGAGGCCATAAAATCCGAGAGAGGATCCATGTATGAAAACAAAGTGTAGACTTTGAAAGAACTACTTGATGGTCGTAAGGCTGTTGGGTACAGATGGATTTTAAAAGGAAGACGGACAATGCTGGTAAGTATCACCATTAAGAAAGCTCGACTTGTCGTTAAGATGTTTTTCGACAAGTTCAAGGAGTTGACTACGCTGGGACTTTCTCACTCGTAGCGATGCTAAGAGTCTGTTGGAATTATATTAGCAATTACTGCATGATTTATGAAATCTTGCAGATAGGATGTCAAAACATTATTTCCTCGACGATATTCTTGAGGAAAGGTTGTATGTGATACAACCAGAAGGTTTTGTCAATCCTAAAAGATGCTAACAAGTATGCAAAGCTCCAGCAATCCTTCTAAGGACTGGAGTAAGCATCTCGGAGTTGGAATATACGCTTTGATGAGATGATCAAAGATTTTGGGTTTATACAAAGTTTATGAGAAACTTGTATTTCGAAAGAAGTGAGTGGGAGCACTATAGAATTTCTGATGAGTATATGTTGTTAACATATTGTTGATTAGAAATGATGTAGAGTTTCTGGAAAGCATATAGGGTTATTTGAAAAGTGTTTTTCAATGGAAAACATGGATTAAGCTACTTGAACATTGAGCATCAAGATCTATAAGGATAGATTAAAATCGCTTAATAGTACTTTCGAACGAACACATACCGTGACAAGATTTTGAAGGAGTTCAAAATAGATCGGGAAAGAAGGAGTTCTTGGCTGTGTTATAAGGTGTGAGTATTGAGTAAGACTCAAGACATGACCACGGCAGAATAGAGAGAAAGGACGAAGGTCGTCCCCTATGCTTCAGACGTAGGCTCTATAGTATGCTATGATGTGTACCGCACCTGAAGTGTGCCTTTCCATGAGTCAGTCAAGGGGCACAAGAGTGATCCAGGAATAGATCACAAGACAACGGTCAAACTTATCCTTAGTAACTAGTGGACTAAGGAATTTTCTCGATTATGGAGGTGGTAAAAGAGTTCGTCGTAAAGGGTTACGCCGATGCAAACTTTGACACTAATCTGGATGATTCTGAGTAGTAAACCGGATTCGTATAGTAGAACAGTTATTTGGAATAGCTCCAAACAGAGCGTGGTAGCTGCATCTACAAGATGACATAGAGATTTGTAAAGCACACACGGATCTGAAAGGTTCATACTCGTTGACTAATAACCTCTCTCACAAGCGAGATATGATCAAACTCCATGGGTGTTGAATTCATTACAATCACATAGTGATGCGAACTAGATTATTGACTCTAGTGCAAGTGGGAGACTGTTGGAAATATGCCCTAGAGGCAATAATAAAATGGTTATTATTGTATTTCCTTGTTCATGATAATTGTCTATTGTTCATGCTATAATTGTATTAACTGGAAACCGTAATACATGTGTGAATACATAGACCACAACATGTCCCTAGTGAGCCTCTAGTTGACTAGCTCGTTGATCAATAGATGGTTATGGTTTCCTGACCATGGACATTGGATGTCATTTATAACGGGATCACATCATTAGGAGAATGATGTGATGGACAAGACCCAATCCTAAGCATAGCACAAGATCGTGTAGTTCGTTTGCTAAGAACTTTTCTAATGTCAAGTATCATTTCCTTCGACCATGAGATTGTGCAACTCCCGGATACCGTAGGAATGCTTTGGGTGTACCAAACGTCACAACGTAACTGGGTGGCTATAAAGGTGCACTACAGGTATCTCCGAAAATGTCTGTTGGGTTGGCACGAATCGAGACTGGGATTTGTCACTCCGTATGACGGAGAGGTATCTCTGGGCCCACTCGGTATTGCATCGTCATAATGAGCTCAATGTGACTAAGTAGTTAGTCACGGGATCATGCATTACGGAACGAGTAAAGTGACTTGCTGGTAACGAGATTGAACGAGGTATTGGGATACCGACGATCGAATCTCGGGCAAGTAACATACCGATTGACAAAGGGAATTGCATACGGGATTGCTTGAATCCTTGACATCGTGGTTCATCCGATGAGATCATCGTGGAACATGTGGGGGCGAACATGGGTATCCAGATCCCGCTATTGGTTATTGGCCGGAGAACGTATTGGTCATGTCTGCATGGTTCCCGAACCCGTAGGGTCTACACACTTAAGGTTCGGTGACGCTAGAGTTGTTATGGGAAATAGTATGTGGTTACCGAAGGTAGTTCGGAGTCCCGGATGTGATCCCGGACGTCACGAGGAGTTCCGAAATGGTCCGGCGGTGAAGATCGATATATTGGACGAAGGGTATTGGAGTCTGGAAGTGTTCCGGGGGTACCAGGCTATGGCCAGCATTGACCGAAAGGTGTTTCGGGAGCCCCGGCAAGTGTTGGAGGGCTTCATGGGCCAAAGGGGAAGGGGCAAACCAGCCCACTAAGGGGTGGTACGCCCCCACACCATTTCCTACGTTATTTGGGGAGGTGGGGCACCTCCACCTGGATTGGGAGGCAATCCTCCACCTGCTTGGCTTGGGGGGCAAGTCTCCCTAGGATTTTCCCTAGGGAGATCCAATCTGCTTGGCCGCCCCTAGGGGAAACCCTAGGGCGCCTCCCCCTCTCCCCTTGCCCCTATATATAGTGGAGGGGTGGGAGGGCAGCCGCACCTCTTCCCTGGCGCAGCCCTCTCCCTCCTCCAACACCTCCTCCTCCGTAAGTGCTTGGCGAATCCCTGCCGGAGAACCACGAGCTCCATCACCACCATGCCGTCGTGCTGTCGGAGTTCTCCCTCAACTTCTCCTCTCCCCTTGCTGGATCAAGAAGGAGGAGACGTCCCCGGGCTGTACGTGTGTTGAACGCGGAGGCACCGTCATTCGGTGCTTAGATCGGAATCTACCGCGATCTGAATCGCTACGAGTACGACTCCTTCATCCACGTTCTTGTAACGCTTCCGCTTAGCGATCTTCAAAGGTATGAAGATGCTCATCCCCTTCTCTCTCTTATTGCTAGAATCTCCTAGATTGATCTTGGTGATACGTAGGAAAATTTTGAATTTCTGCTACGTTCTCCAACAGCAGGGTGTCGGACGAGGAGCAAAAAGGCCGCCGGCTGTGACCCTACGGTTTGCAGGGGAGGAGATGGAGAAGTGGAGGAGAGGGGGAGGAATTACCTCGAGAAGTACCGGCGGAGGAGGACGGCGGCGGCGGGGCGACGCTTTGTCTCGGTGTGTCCCGTTCCGCGCGGGTGCCCTCGAGGCTGGCCAGCCGCGTGGATAGGAGGGGAACGAAGGGGATCGAAGGGACTCGGCTGTGCGAACCCCGTGAAACAAATGGGTAGACGAGGATTAGCGAGGTTTCTGGGCCTTGCGGGGTTAATCCTCTAGAAACCTTGTCAATCCGCTCGTACCAAATGAGGGCTCAAGGGTCAAAGGTTTTCCGGGAAAGTGCGAGAGATGCTTGTATCTCCATCTCGAGTACAAGATTCTAAATTTTAAATAAATGCACTCCTAAGTAGCAAAGCATAGATTAAGTAGCCCAGATATGTCGCACCTAATTTGGAGAGTGACATGTACCCAGTTGTAGGGAAAATGGCGACGAAAAAGGCAGGGAGATTGGAGTGTAGCAATGAAAATATTCCACAAGAATGGTTCGAAAGTGACACTCACGCTTAGCATGAGCTTCGCTATGAATCATATCTTAGCATGACCGATCTAATCCTGACATTTAAAACCGCAGCTCAAACACCTACTGTAACACACAACACGCCGGCGACCTAAACCGGCCCCTCCATCCCCTGCTGCCACAGTGCTCTCAAGTCTAATCACACCCTGTCCCACCGAGAAAGAACGAGAATGCCGCGCCACCTGCTGCAGCAGCCCGTCGACCGCCTGGCCGCGATGGCCGCCGCGCCGGCCGCGGTTGCCGGCAGTGGGACGAGCCTGCGCACGGAAACGCTGCTCATCCTGGCGGCGGTGCTCTGCTTCCTGCTCTGCGTGGTCGGGCTGGCCATGGTCGCGCGCTGCTCCCGCATGTGCAATCCCTCCGCCTTCTCCGTCGAACCGCCGGGCGCAATGGCCAAGGCGCCGTGCGAGGGGATGGAAAAAAAGGCGCTGGAGTCGCTGCCGACCGTGTCGTGGCAGCCGGAGTCGAGCAAGGAGGTGGACGAGGACGAGCCGGAGCGGCCGGAATGCGCCATCTGCCTGGCGGCGTTCGCACGCGGCGACGAGGTGCGCGTGCTCCCGCGCTGCGGCCACGGCTTCCACGCCGCCTGCGTCGACGTGTGGCTCCCCTCCAGCTCCACCTGCCCCTCCTGCCGCCGCGCCCTCGTCGTCGCGGCCGCCCAATCGCCGGCAGCCACCGAGTCGCCCCCTCCTCAGACGAGCAGGCCTCGGCTGCCGGCACAGTAGCCGACGAGTCCGGACGGGGCGCGTCCACCTCTGACCTTTCTTTTGTCAGCTAGCTCTCTGTTGTTGGTACTTGTGCAGCTGGTGGGTACACGTACGTACAAAATGCAACTGTACAGCGTGTGATGGTGCATCACTTAGTTAATTTCTGTCTGTAACATATTTCATCTGTAAATACTTGTAGATCGGTCACTTTTAGTTGATTGATTACTAACAAAATCTGGCCGGCGACGCGGACTATAAAAAGAGAAGAAGACGCAGACGTGTGTGCTGCATGTTGCGTATACGAAGCAGACGTACGGCCGGGCACCTACGCTTTCGGTAAAGATCATCCTCGTCACCAAGATGCGTACATGTTCATGTCGACCGATGGCTTCAGTGTGGTCAAGCGTCAATCATGGCGGCGGTCGTGCTCACTCCGTCGCGTCGGTGAGGTGGTGGCGCCGGCCGGGCACGAGGAGCGGGATATTTTAGGCTGCCCTGATGTGGTACGTTACGTACGTATGCCGGCCTTCACGGACGGACGCCGGGCCGTCCATCGCCATGAATGATCGAGGGAGGTCTCTCTCTCTCTCCCTAGTGCGGTTCATGGCGATCCGTCAACCTCACGTATACAAATGATCGATGCCCATTCCGACCACCCAAGCTACCCAGAGCATGCAAGTGCAACAACCTCGACGCGCCACCAAGTTTCTTCGAATTGCTTCTATCGATTCGATTCGAGGGTTCCTTGACCTCTCGCGCTCCGTGCCCTCAAGTACTATTTCTACCCTGGCCCCGGCACCGTCGGCCGGCGGCACGGCGAAGCAGCATCGGTCGATCCACGTAGACCGGTAAAAAGAGGATGCTTTCTCCAGTCAAGTGCATGGCAACCACCAACCACGTCCAGGTCGGTGTTGACAATGGGACTATCTTATCTTGCCCCCTGGCTGGGTGCGGATCCATCGATCGATCGAGTAGGCACTGATCTCCATCTCCTTTGTTTATGGCATCGATCGCGTTATCCCATCGGTCGGTCGGTCGGCCTCCTTTACGCTTTGCTTTGCTTTGCTTTCGTCGCCCCCTTTCGATCCTATTCTAACCACCATGATTGACATCTAGATAGATCACAAGTGGCGGCAAAAGGAGAGCAGCTAAAAGAAAGGAAAACGTGATCGGTCGATCGATCCAATGGAATCCAAAAGGGCATGCAGAGTGTCCCAAGTTGCATGCGCGGAGCGGGCCGCCCCAATTCGTGCTGCCGGCGTCCGTCCGTCCGTCCGTCGGGCTCGCGCGGGTCGCCACCGCACTACGTACCCTAGGCCCGAAGGCCATAGTGGTAGACTAGCTCCAGCACAGTGAGTGAAGGTTTTAGGCCGCGCGCGCGCACGTGTTGCCGCGCAATTTGACCGACGACAACGTTCTTCTCCACGTTCATGCATTGAATCGAGACGGGTTTAGGTTTTGCACCATGTTGTAGCGCTTGTAGTAATTAATACCCCCTCCGTCCGAAAATACTTGTCATCAAAATGGATAAAAATGGATGTATATAAAACTAACATATGTCTAGATACATCCCCTTTTATCAATTTTGATGACAAGTATTTCCGGACGGAGGGAGTAGCAACCAGTGCCAAAAGTGAGTAGTACTAGCAGTACAAGTGGGTGTGCATATTTTCCTTGCCTGAAACAAAAGGTTGGTGCGTAGAGTAGCGTAGGTAGGGCGCGCGGCGGATATGTTATCCGGATAGATCTTGGCTTTGCTTTGGCACACGTATCTGACGTGGCGGACGACCTTACACATGGGCCTGGTCGGTCACTCTCTCACCTCCCGTTATTCCTGCTCATCGTAGTACTAGCTAGCTAGTGTAATATGAGTCGTTGCTTTCATCGTACCCGCTCGATCGGTCGGCTCACTTGAGTTGTCTGCTCATTTCTGATACGCACGTACTACGTACTACTCCCGAGAGTACGAACTTGTACACCACTTTCACCGTGACCAAGTACTAGCAAAGTTGTAGCATCTCCCCCTCGAGTACAAGTCTCGAATTTTTTTATCTTATGAAGAAGAAAGGCAGGAAGTAGCAATAGATCAATCACTTAACTAGTCCAGATCGGTCGCACCTAAATTTTGAGAGTGACATGTACCCAGTTGTAGCTGAAAAGGCGAAGAAGAATACAGGGAGTGTACCAATGAAGACATTCAACGAGAATTCAAACAAGAATTGGTCGAAAGTGACACTCCCACTTATATCAGCTTAATTGTCAATCATATCCCTACTACCTAAGCTTAGCCACCCACTTAGTACTGTATGACCCGGCTAATCCGGACACTAGCTATAAAACCGCTGCAGGAGCACCCAACTCTTGCCTCCTTCGCAACTCCCGCTACACAGTGAGCACACTGAGAGACGACCTAAATTGGCCCCGCGCGCTCGTTGGCACGGTGCTCATCTCCCTCATCCTGTCGGCCCGTCGGCCCACCGGCCACCGAGAACGAACCGGACAATGCCGCGCCACCTGCTGCAGCAGTCCGTCGACCGCCTGGCCGCGATGGCCGCGCCGCCGGCGGCCGCCATGGCCGGCGGGGCGACGAGCGCGCACACGGACACGGTCCTCATCGTGATCGCGGTGCTCTGCTTCCTGCTGTGCGTGGTCGGGCTGGCCATGGTCGCGCGCTGCTCCCTGCTCTGCAACCCCTCCGCCTTCTCCGTCGACGGGCTGGCGGCCAAGGCGCCGTGCGGTGGCCTCGAGAAGAAGGCGCTGGAGTCGCTGCCGACCGTGTCGTGGAGGCCGGAACAGAGGGAGGTGGACGAGGAGGAGGGGGAGCGGCCGGAGTGCGCCATCTGCCTGGCGGAGTTCGCGCGCGGCGACGAGGTGCGCGTGCTCCCGCACTGCGGCCACGGCTTCCATGCCGCCTGCGTCGACGTGTGGCTCCTCTCCAGCTCCACCTGCCCGTCCTGCCGCCGCGCCCTCGTCGTCGTGTCGCCGGCGCCGCCAACCACCCATCCTCCCGCGGGTGCGACGACGTGCTGTGGCGTGGCAGGCCGCTGCCGGCCGTCGGCATCGTAGGCGACCGACCGGCCGTCTACATACATATCCTGGCCTGTTCACGCAGCTGCTGCAGAGTACAGATTATGTTCATACGTAGTCGCTCACGTACGTACATACGCGCCATTTGATTAGTTGTTTACATACATTTCCCATGTGTTGTGTCATCCGAACATATCAGTATACCGTACACTTGTATACGCGTACGTGCAACTGGATGGTGTGCATGCGATGGGTCGATGATGCACCACTTACATGTGTCTGTAAAAGCTTTTTTCCTCATTAAAACCTGTGGATACATGCATCTAGATCTGGCCCTCTAAGAGCATCCACGGCTGGACTTGGCAAATCCGGCCCCTCAAACGACCGCAGACGCGTCCGGGACGCATCCGCGGGCACTGGCTGTGTACCCCTCAAATGTTGCGTCACACATCCACATCCCATTGTTAGAGTCTGGAACAAAATGAAGGCTCCTCAGACCATTGGATTTTGGACCGTCCGATTGCGTGTCCAATTGTTAGAGTCTGGAACAAAATGAAGGCTCCTCAGGCCATTGGATTCTGGACCGTCCGATTGCGTGTCCAAACGAGATCTGGCCGTTGGATCGCGAGATGGATCGATCCGGACCGTCGGATCGCGAGATGATCGATTCGGACCGTCGGATCGATAGAAACACTGCTACAACACTCCAGTTCATGCCACCGCCTGTAATTTCCCTGCCCCACCGAGGGCATTCTCGTCTTTTCACACTATCCCCGTCGCGCCCCTTCCTTTCTCTCGTGCCCCAGCCACCGCCGCCGCTCGCCCCATCCCCACCCCCCTCGCATCGCCACCCCCACCCCTCCTCCCATCCCCTAACCCTAGCTCCTCCCCTACGTCTCGCTGCCTGGCCTCCTCCCCTCCCGTCGTGCTAGCGCATCCTCTGCCGCCATCGTTGCTCGCCCCGGTCCCCGTCCTGCAGCGGTGGCCGAGGAGGACTAGCCGCGCCACGGCCGCACATCCCGTCCTGCAGCGATGGTCCACGGGATCGGCACCGGCACCGGCCTCCTTGCTCCCGCTCGAGTCATGGAGGGACAACCAGCAGCGGCGGCCCAGGAGATCGACGACTAGCGAGGCGAGTCGCCTTCGATTCTGCAGGAGCCCGATGGCTGTCTCCTCCTCCACAGCCGCACACGAGCGGCCAACCCTGGACTAGGTCGCGACATGAGAAGCGGACGTCCGAGGCATGTCCAGGTGCGCCCCTCTCCCTCCCTCCTCCTCTGTGTGTGCGCGCGCGCGTGTGTGTGTTCGTGTGGGACTGATTCCGTTCGTCCGCGCTGGCTTGGCAGCGCCACTGCCCGCTCGATACGTCCCCCGCCCCAGCTGCCGACCCCCTCCTCCACGGCGGCGCCTTCGTCCCCGGCGATGCACGGCAGCAGCCCACTACAGGTGATATTTGATTTCATGGTGATGTACATGCTTTGCATGCTTAATCCTAGCACTACTTCTGTTTTCTTTTGCACACAAGGGAACTTGCTATTCCTGCGGTCATTGATTAGTAAACAAAGAGGCAGGAGGGAGGCAGCAATGGATAAGAAGGTAACAAAGATAGATGCTCTCATTGGCAGCGGCTTTCGTGGAGGGTGGCGTGCAGGACACCTTCGCCCCGAAACCATAGTTGTACGTGCGGGTGCGGGTGCGCTGACGTCTCTCTGCTGTGTGGTGGCGCAGGACGGTGAAGATAGGGGACAAGAGCTGCTCGCTGCAGCCGCTTGTCGGCGGCCCCAACGGCCTCGTCCCCTGCCAAGGCAAGGATGGATGATTATACTGTTCTCCCTTCCAGTTCATCTCTGCACTCTACTCATTCAAACATGCCTTGCTATTTCACCTTAGTAACAACAATGGATGGCATTGGTTGATTGGTACAGATGATAAGCCGCGAGATGGCGGTGCCGCCGATGGTCAGCCGCAGGACGAGACCAGGGACAATAGGCCCCTGATCGACAATAACACCGTGCAGACGCTGTCCAGCAAGGACATCGAAGCGATGAAGCGGTGAGGATTCAATTGAACGTTGTCCACATGTCCTGCTCGAGTAGGATATTTATTTTCCTTTCTCTGTTTTTTAATGAGATCTTGATGTCGTGCGGGTTTTTAATAGGGAGGATGCCAGCGGTGACGCCATCGTGGAGGCTTTGATAGCAAATGGCTCCACATTTGGAAATAAGACAGTGTTCTCACAGGTTGGCATCCGTTACTTATTGTCTGGTTTGTTTCCTTGCTGTTTTGGTGGAACACTGAGGTCTGATTTTGTATGACCGTTTTCGGTTGCAGGAGAAATACAAGCTGAAGGAACAAAACAAATATGCGCCTAAAGTGCTTTTGCGGCGCCCCTCTACCCGAAGGTATCTCATGACACTCTGTTTGTAGAAGGAAAGATATGTCATATATTTTGTAAGCAAATACTATCAAATTTGTGGTTCTGTGTGAGTGTGATTGTCACGCATGCGACCATATGTAGTATCACACATTTCATTTTAATATAAAGATGCATCTTCTGATTAGCTCTTTGCGGTGGATGTCCTGCCCAAAGTAGCGAACCAGTTTCTCTGGAGTATCTTCTTAACTGCAGTTTGAGGATTGTTGTAGTGTATGAATAAAGTAGGACAAGTAAGAAAGAACCGCTGCTTTATTTATAATTTCGCTACAACAACTGATGAAAGCACATCTAGCTCTATGGTGGCAATGTAGTTTTTTTTGTAGGGGGTGGCAATGTAGTTTGTTGTGGCTAAAATTTACTTAGCCCAACTAACCTTAGGTCAGACCAACTTCGGCGAGTGGTGTATTCCAACATACAAATTCAGTGCATTTGAATCAAGAGATGAAAGTGGTTGGAGGGGGGAAATAAGAAAGACTAAAATGCAATGTTTTTAAGCTTATAGCCTATGGAATTTGAGACCGGCTGTTGTTCTTTTTGAATATTCTTGTATCCTCTGTTTACTTAAAAAGTGGTGTTCAGAACAAGAAATAAGTTCTGGCCGCATAAAAGTTGCAGTTCAGAATCCATTTGTTAGGTTGGTCGGGGTGGGAATGGGAGGGTTTTAATTTCTTAATAGAACATGTCCCGTTTTCCAAGTTTTGGTTTGAAAGATTACCAAGTGAACTGGATTTAACGTAGTTATTGGAAAGTTAGCATAATTTTGAATTAATTTTGTTGTAAGTTGTATTTACATAGTGCTTGGCACTTGAAAAAATATTTTCCTTTTTTATTTTGTTCATTACTCTTAATATATACTACTAGAAAGTGTCTACTAGAAAGTGTGTAAATTATCTAATTTTTTTGTTCCCTTTTATGCTACCCCATCTATGAGACATATTTCAAGAAGTACCCAGCTCGAATAGGGTAACTATTTCCGTTTCATTACTTGCTAGAGCCAATCTATTATTTTTTCCTTCTCACCATCATAGTCAATTTCTTGATCTTGCATAGCTGTAGCACTTGGTTACTTAATGCTGTCTTTTCTTGTTCCTCAGGTTTATGTGAGTTGATGCGCTCTCCCTCTTGTTGTCTATGGCAATTGTTGGTGCATATTCAGATGTGCTTGCCGATGATATGGTTGGGGGTTTAGTTGTTGGAGCTGTATCTGAACACTTAGGAGGTAAATTATGCTTTCTTCTATGGTAATGGATATTATTTGGTGTTAAATTAAACTTTCCAATTGAATGATACTGTTTTAACCTTGCTGTTTGTTGACAAATCACCCTGATTTAGTGGGAAATTGTTATGTGCTGTGGCATGTAATAACTAATTCTCTCACGAGTCACATTACTTGTTTCCACAAACTGCAATATACATCTCCGAATATGAAAGCTTTAGGCTGACCTGCCATTGCCAGCTCGAGGTGTTTGTTAGTATTTGTGAATGTGCGAAGTAAACCTGATTCTTGTGTGTTGTGCATCGCCATTTACATATCTTATTAATGAAAATCATTGCTGATTATCTCTGTTATATAGGTATTTCCACACAAATTTTATATCCAAATCTTGTCATTCATGTTGTTGCAGGGATTTGCGCGGTGGAGACAGCTATCCATTTGTGCGGTCATTGGATTAGTAAACAGAGAGGGGGGAGGGAGGGAGCAATGGACAAGAAGGCAACAAAGATGAAGATGCTCTCGTCGGCAGCGGCTTTTGTGGAGGGTGGCGTGCAGGACACCTTCGACGACGCCTGCATCATCTGCCTTGAGAACTTCTGCGACAGCGAGCCCTCCGATAGCGACCTCTCTCTTGCGGATGTAATGGTGATTGGCGATGGAAATCTTTTGATTTGGTGGTAGACGTGTCGGAAGTTGAAGCTGTTCTGGTTCTTGTTTTGAATTGTCACAGGTTACAAGCTGCAAGCATGATTTCTATCTCCAGTGCATCCTTGAGTGGTGAGGACCATGCTTTCTTTTCTTTGCAATTTCCCCTCAAGTTCTTTGACCACTTGATTAGAAATTTAGAATGATATTGCCTGAAACTATCATACAAGTACGCATTTTGCTGTTGTTAGTTTGTTCATTGGCCTTGGCTTTATTTAAAAGTGTATGTTTCATGGGCCTTGGCTTTATTTAAGAGATACCTCGCCGGCTCTTTTTTTAAAAGCTAAAGGGACTATCTGATTTGTTCTCTCTGGTCTGCTACCACCCCTTATTCTTGGGCTTTGGTCTGCTACGTTTGGCCTGATATTCTTCTTTGGTGTCCACATGAGAAAAAAAGGATGCCTATGATCAAATAGCAATCACTTATTTTTCTAGGTTGTATAGATTTCTTGAATTACCTGCAGTATACTTCTTTGTCAACTAATATATGTCTCCCTGACAATTTCAACAAATACCAAGGATATGGTTAGGCGCACATATGCTTGTGTTTACGACGACACCTGCACCAGTCGTCATAGTAGTTGT